AGTTGCGCGATGTTGTGTCTCAGGGGGGCTACTTTCACATGGCAGAGAAATCTCAGAACCCCCATTTTGCCCGGACACTGCCTTTAAATAAAATGTGCCAGGAGTTCTGACTACTGTACTGGTTTATGTCGGTTGCGACATCGTTTTGCGAAAAACTTGCGTTGGTTACCTCATGCGAAAGCCATCTGTGTTCATTGAGTATCAGTTCTGTTAGACCTGATAGCTGGTCGTCAGCTCAAGCTCAATGGTTCAGTATACTGACGAGCGATGTTTGAAAAAGTAGGGTTATTTGTATCATAAATAATGGTCTGCAGGCTTAAAGGCAGTGTCCGGGCAAAAACTCGATTTTGAGATTTTGTGCTTACTTGGGCCTATTCGCTACGCTGAATCCGAAAATGCACACTATAGAGCGCGAAAATGGCGAAAAACGGCTCTAACACAGGAGGGAAATGAGCAGGTGGGCGGGGCCCTCCCCACTGCGAATTCACGTTCCCGGCTTCCGGAGCGACCTTCTCGCTTCCGGTTTCAAGTCAGTCATTCGCACTTGACCAGTAGCGATGTTAGGACGGCTAGCGAAATCGAGAAAATCGCTCCGGGAGCTGGGAGCGTGAAATCGCACTGGGGAAAGCCCCGCCCACTTTTGATTTCACTCCTGTGTTAAAGCCCTTTTTCGCCGTTTTCGCGCTTTCCAGTGTGGATTTTCGGATTCAGCATGGCGAATAGGCCCAGGTAAGCACAAAATCTCAAAATCGACTTTTTGCCCGGACACTGCCTCTAAAACCGACATCGCAGACAACCGTATGAAATAGAAGCACTACTGACAAGGACGACTAACATGCCTCAACGTCTTCTCTGCGTATCTTCAAAATAAACGAGTGGCTTGTTCACAGCGCAAAGACAATCTGACTACATCTATACAATATCGCTTAGAACAAGCTTATGATGCACTACTTTTTCGCAGATCAAACTTCCAAGACGCCACTGACGACTTGCTCGTTGTGGACCATATACATAGTCCCAAAAAAACAATATTGAACGTTTGATCTCAATAGCTCTCTCGTATGAGCATTTGCGGCTTCCAACACCAAACTGCAGAACTGGCTCAACACTTTTCAAAATTTTACGGTTATCAACTCAAAATTATCGGAAGCATACATTCCTCCATAGGAGAAAAATTGCAGCTCCTACCTCCCTCCGAGAAAGAATGCTGAACCGCCACTATTATAGGCAGTGTCCGGGCAAGAAGTCGATTTTGAGATTTTGTGCTTACTTGGGCCCATTCGCTACGCTGAATCCGAAAATGTACATTGTAGAGCGCGAAAATGGCGAAAAACGGCTCTAACACAGGAGGGAAATGAGCAGGTGGGCGGGGTCCTCCCCACTGCGAATTCACGTTCCCGGCTTCTGGAGCGACCTTCTCGCTTCCGGTTTCAAGTCATTCATTCGCACTTGACCGGTAGCAATGTTAGGACGGCTAGCGGAATCGAGAAAATCGCTCCGGGAGCTGGGAGCGTGAAATCGCACTGGGGAAAGCCCCGCCCACCTGCTGATTTCCCTCCTGTGTTAGAGCCTTTTTCGCCGTTTTCGCGCTTTCCAATGTGGATTTTCGGATTCAGCATGGCGAATAGGCCCGTATGAGCACAAAATCTCAAAATCGAGTTTTTGCCCGGACACTGCCTTTATGTACATATTAGGGTGTCTCTAAGATAACTCCTTTTCAATAAATCAGGTTGTTTTGTTTTTCTAGCAGACTTAAGGCATCATCCGATAGAGCGAAGCAAGCTCTGTAAAATGACCACGGTCCGCCTAAGCCTAATGCAGCTAAAGTTTGGAGCCAAAATTGAAAAAAATTATCTGGAGATTGAATCTTTGCAAGAAAAGTTCCTACGGAGCTCATACTTGGTCACTACACAGTAGACGCATAGTAGCACTCAAATATGCCTTTCACTGGATTTTTTCAGCGCTTAGAGTATGAGAAAAAGATAGTCCAAAGTGGCTCCGCCCTCAGCCTCTCCCATATGTCACTGTATACTACAAGCTTCAAGCCAAGTAACCTTAAAATACTTCTGTATGTGCTTTGGTAATCGAGTAGTACCCAAGTTTAACAAAAAAAACGAAAAAAGCAGCATTTTCGCATTTTTGGTCCATCTTAAATTCTCAATTTTGATCCCCGTAAAAAATCCGACAAGTACACTGGTTGGGTACTACCTAGAGGTCTTCTATATGAAATCCGTAAGCATTTTCTGAGAGGAGATCCTCTTTTCAAAGTAGCTGAAATTCTGATTTTGGCTCCAGATTTTACTTGGATTACGAATTAGGCGGATCTTTGGTGGTCATTTTGTAGAGCTTGCTTTGCTCTATCAAATGGTACAGTTTACTAGGAAGACAAAAAAGTTTGACTCATTCGAATAAGGAGTTTACTTTTGGGACAGCCTAATATCTTGTTCTGTATATGATTAGACGCGTCCATGTGATTGTTTGTCGAAACGTAGTCGTGATGTCTGGTTTTTCAAATTCATCACTTGTATCCAAGCAACGCCAACAGAATGAATGCCGCAATCAAGCTCTGCACAGCATTTTCTATTCGAGCTTGATTTCATAGCATCCGTCTGTGGTACGATAATCCGATATGAAAGAAATGTTCTCTTTGAGAATTTTTCCCGATAATTGCTACAAATTAGTCTCTCTGTCACTAATCTGTCCAAAGCAATGCATTTTCTTAAACTGATGTATTAAGTGCTGGAAAGAGAGTCTCTGAAAGAACCGGTTCAGTGATGTTGAGATGCCAGAAAGCAGCACTTACAAGCTGGTTCGCATCTAGTCCAAGAAATCGTCGTGACTATCCATCATGCATTGTGTAACTGGACTTTCCTCGGGTTTTCCACTAGATCTCATTTCGACAATTCAAATTATGTTTTATCTGTTAACTCTTATTTCCACATTCATGAATCTCGAAATGCAGAGAAAGTTTTCGTCGATTATCGCATAACTCATATTTCAACGATGAATCGAATTATGCGCTTATCTTTTATTTCACCGAGCTAAGAAAATAAACATCAGGCTTAAGATTGATCTTTTTGTATATATGGCAAGGTCATTGTCCGTGAAAAGGTGACTGTAATGCTTCAATAATCCGCATGAAAAAGATATAAGTCATTTATGAAATCGTGATGACGGATTTTACTGCGGCCTTTGCACTCAGAGGAGAGAAAAACACGCATCACCTCAACGCTCAGCTCAGTCACTTTCAGTGTTCAAAAGTTACCACACATAAGGAAACCGTTCGAGTAGAGGTGAAAACCAAGAACTGCAGGAAGTGCGTGCGTGTTGCACGCGGTCCGCCATCGTCAAGATTTTTGAAATGCCCTATAGGTACTTTGATCGCAAATCATTCCTCTCGATATAAGTTAGTCCAGTAGGGCAGAGTTCACGTGATTTCATCGCGCGATCTCCCAGGCCCCGGGCAGACTTCACGCGATTTGATCGTCGCGACTGAATCGCGACGAGACATCTGTTACAACATCACCATGCCGATCAACTTGCATTCGGTTGTGATACTTTTTCAGCCCGAAATATTTGAATGTGAAATGAAAATGAATGGAAATCTTGGCGATTAGATCGCGACGACTAAGCCGCGTGAACTGTCCGCGGCCATAAGACAACTGCTACTATATCCATTGCTGCCGGTCAACTTGCATTTCGGTTGTAATAGTTTTCCGACACGACCAATCGTGACAAACTAACACTGCCGAAGTGGAGTTGATCGGCATGCATGGACTCGCAACAATTGTGTTGTATAGTCGTCCTCCCCCCACTAGACACCTAGTGGATGGATTCGAATTTGAAGAGCACGTCGATTGCGGCAGAGCGCGGCATTGTCAACTCCAGTTCAACCTCATCCAATATTCTCTGGTGTTTCTTCGTCGTTGCATGGTGATTTTTTGTTTCGATGATGTTTGTAATCAAAATCGACGAAATTGTTGCTGCTTAGCGATGTTTCGTGCTACTATGCTCGCTTCTTCGGTTTTATTTCAGCTAAACTTGAAATCAGAATTCAAATAACGAGCATAGTAGCAGGAAGCATCACTCAAGACTAACAAAGTTTATAATCCAGTTAAGAAGACTGCTAACATTCAAAAAATAGGATGAAACGTTCCGAAAACGCAAAAACGTCTGCTTGAGATCAAAGTGAGGGCTGCAGGTACCGCGCTCTGCCGCAAACGGCTTGCTCTGCTTCAAATTTGAATTCGTGCACTAGGTGTCTAGTGGGGGGAGGACGACTATAGGTGGATCGCGAGGCAATGAAATCGCGTGGACTTTGCCGAGGCCTAAATATGAGATAAGAGGTTAACGAGTACTCATCTGCATTCGAAATATCATTATCAAGAAGAAGAATTTTCAGCGCTGTCTGAGGAAATGTCTAAGAAAAAGGGGAAGTAGTAGAAGAAGTAGAACATTTGCAAAACAGCTGTTCAGCTCTCTCTATAGCATTGTCCTGGACAGAAGCAGACTAGTAGAAGACACCACAGGTCATAGCTTTGACTGCAGTCACAATTCAAAATCTCTTATCTATCAAAGCATGCTGTACATCTTTATTGTCGTATGGGAAAAGCTAGGAGGAGTACTGGACGTATATCAGGTTACTTTCTCGGTACTATACATTCTTCCAGCTCAGAAATTATCAGCATCAGTAGATACCTTTATCAAGTAACAGCAAGCCTTCACTTTCCACTGGAATGATACTGTTGGTAAACCGGATGTCATCTCTTCACACTATTGCATGTTGTATAGGCCATAAACCTTGCATTGTAAAGACCAATTGGTCATTTTTGCACAGAATTTAGTTTTCACAACAGTAATTTGCCTTGTGTAACCGGTTTCATAATTGAAATGGGCGGCCCTGATGTGCTCCCACGCCAATTCAGGAAACCACATCCATTTCGGACCGACACTGTTTCTTCTTCTTTTTTTGGATTTTTGATCCAGTTAGCTATTTTTTGCTGGCAGCATTGTATCTTCGGTATTGTAATAGCATGACCATCTGCTGTTGTTTACTATGGCTGTGATCGAAAGCGAAGAATTACGATTGCATCATTGTCCGGTTCTAATGCGCTGTACGACGTCAGCATTGCGGGTGGGCAAGTTTATATAAAGAAGATCTTTCGTCTAGACTATATTGATCGCAATCTCTGCGCATAAAGGTGCTAATGGCTAATATGGCCGCAAGCATGGCATAGTTTACTCACACCACATTTGCTGATAAGCTTTTTGTTGACCGTACACAAGTCAGGTTTCTCTTTTTCGGTCTCAAATTGTCGGTTTTATTGTGCTCTTCGCCAAGGTCATGTGAAATGTCGCCTTTTTACTGTCGTACTTCATTCGTAGTATCGTTGTTATCAGCAATAGCATTTCGTTTGCAGTCAGCATCGTGGTATGTAGGAGGTCATAGATCATCTGGAACGGAGCGCGACGTGCCATGTGATAAAATATGTCATAGCAAGATTTTTCCGTCCACGCTACGGATTATCTCCCCATTTCTATTTACTGAAGACTTCTTCTGTTGTTACAAATGGTTATAGTGTCGGGTCTCAGTGTCATCATATGTGCTCCTCTGTCAACTTTGTTCTTGAACGCACTTCGCTATAATTTCTTGTTTGAGCAAAGTTATCACCTTGTCACATCATTTCGATTCCAGATTAAGCGAAACTCGCTGCTGACATAGGACAAGATGGCATAGCTGTTCAAATAGACTGCATATCTCCGATCCAGCATTTCATTTCTACGGGCTCATTTTCCACTCCACAACGGCTATGAGCTACCTCTTTTTGTGTACACTTTATGCTGTTGCAGTCAGTGCAGAAATATCTAGAGAAGACTATTATTGCTATACTGGAGGAGCATTCCAGGTATTTATGGTTTTTCAGCTTACAGATGTCTTCTTTTTCTCCTTTGATTCCAAATATATAATTTTCTTCTTGTTACGTACTACCTATCTCTTTTTACTGCTTGCTAGCTGGTGGTAGTAGTAGTCTTATCAAAATGACGCAGAAGGGAAAACAGCTGTAGTCGTATCACTTGCATAGGTCACTGTGATAAGAAGTGAACTTTCATTTTTGATCGAGAAGTTGGTGTTCGAGTGTCAAAGTTTACTAACTGTGAATTAGAGAAATAACTTTTATGCGTGCTTCCTTCTTTTTCAGTAATGCTTGAAACCATACTTGGACGTCGTGCATCATCATGCATCTTCACTTTTGCTTTCAAGCAAACTTATCTTCAGCACTAATGCGAAGGATTTGTCGCAAAATACATCCAAAAAACATTCTTGTTTGTGACCAGCTGCACTACGAGAGTATGAGAGTGTGTCAGTGTCGTATCATTTGAATCCAGTTTTTGTCTCAAGAGAAATAAAAATCTGCGTTGCATCTCACTCGGAGCGCTCAGTACCTTGTAATTCCATGCTTTTCATGAATTTCGAATTTTATATATAATCACGAAGCTTTTACAGGGGAAGCATAAGCTTATGTAGTAAACTTTTTGGCTGACTTAGATTTATATTGCTGCGCAGTTTGCGGAAGTATTGTGATAGCTGGGGCTACTTTTCACTCGGAGATGCCCGCTAAACCTTTCTAATTTTTTAATACATTTCAGGGTGTTCCATGCCGATTTTTCGCTATAGTATTTGATGCGGGCTCAACGGGTACTCGGTTGCATTTGCATAGATATGTTCATAATCCGGATTCACGAGGCATTCCGTTTAGAGTTGAGGAGGAGGTGTTTCAAGAGGTGTCGTTTTACATCCATCGTTTTGTTTCCTCGTTCCAAAAATTCAGTGGAAGGCATAGTTCTCACAATTGAAAGGAAAAATGTTAAGGTGAAGCCGGGACTGTCGTCATTCAGTGATGACCCCTCTAAAGCCGCAGAGTCCATTCGCACACTATTACTGACCGCTCAAGCAGTTGTTCCTGCTTACATGTGGGAGAAGACTCCTATAACACTGCGAGCCACAGCTGGTCTTCGTCTCCTTCCTGGCGATTTGGCCGACGAAATACTCAATGCAGTACGTTTTTGATTTTATTTGATCAGTTTGACCGCAACAAAACGTCCGCTCAGCGTTCAGTTTATGCATGACTTCACGGTCTTTAGCCGGTATCTTATTACTAGAGAACGAATAAAATGTCTTTTTTCCGTTAGGCAAACAGCATTCGTCAAGTTAGCATTTTCGTTTGTGGACTAGTTCCATTACGACATGTGATTGTCTGTAAACTATGGTAGGAAGCGAGTCAGACCCGAATTAGTTCCTTTTCACGTGATTATAGATCATCAGAAAATGATGAATTTTCTTGCTGATTCACATTTCGGCGATGAAAGTTCAACAGCAGTTCCAACAAAATTTGTATACTATAGGCACATAGGTTGGTTAGGTTAAGATTGCGAAGCAATTTAGACGACCGCGCGCTCTAGAACGTAGTTGTCCTACCACCTACTTAGCATCCGGCATTGAAAAGGTACTGAAAAGGAGATTCAAAATCCTAAATAGCGCTAACAAAAGGCCAGAATTTTTGCGATCTCATATTTCCGAAAAAAATTTTTACGAAGTCAGTTTGAGTTTTTCAAATTTTATAAACATTATCTCAGCTGTTTACAGCTCACTCGAAAACATAGATGCTGAGCGTTGTGGCTTACGCGTACATGATAGCTGCTAATGTTCGCATTTTCGAGCAGTCTGCTCCGGTTTGCAATGTTTGGTACAGGACAGGAAAATCGTGAAACGAAAAGCTGCAGCTTGGAGAGCTGGAAAAGTTTCTGCAGAGGCTATATATTCAGCTGTAAACCAGTTGCTCTATAGTCAAGTGCAACGAAGGCCGCGACCTCGTAACTAGAATTTGAACACTTCTCTCTGGGTACACCCAGTTACCAGAAAAATTCATAATTGAAATGTCATCTTCTACTCTCTGTTACTGTGTTAGTGTGGTCTTGCATTCATTTTCCTCTAATTCGTCTATTTATGTAATACACCAAAAGTGCACCAAAAAAAAAGACGAAAAACGGCCAGGAGGTACGATCGGCGCGAATTTTTCACGAAGCGACGCCGCAGCCCACCTCAACCAATACAACAGCCTTGGCGCAGTGTTACTTATGGCATCGAGTCATGTATCTGCCTCCACCTCCAGCCCGTGTTTTTGCCGCCGGGATTTACTAGCAGCGAAGAGCTTTGTGGATCCCTAGATTTGAACATGGCGTGCGCGGTGTACTTCCTGACGTGCAGCCAAAAAAAAAGACCAAAGTCAAAAACGGTACCACAAGCGTCGAGATCATCAATAAAATAATGAAGAGGCTGTTTGAGCTAGGAAAGGATCCCAAGAGACAGTGATCTGGAACGAACTGCATATCATTAGATGCGCCTTGTTGAGCTGATTCCAAATCTACCTTCGTTATCTGCTGCGCCGTTAGAAGAAGTTATGACGGTTTTGAAGGTTCAACAATTTGGCGAACAACAAGTGCCACAGCTTTGAGAAGTAGTTGGTCAACACCTGTCGCCGGTGTATGTGTGCATTCCTCCCAGTCTGTACGCTCAATACCATGTTATTGATGTTTTTCGTGCTTGTTTTAAGTGTACAATATGCGTAAGGGATCGTTCATACCGCGCACAAAGGCGGACGAAGCCGGACAAAGGCGAACGAAGCCGGACAAAGCCGGACAAAGGCGGACGAAGGCGCGGTCTCGTCTCGTCTCGTTTCTCTCGACAAGCACACACACACTCACACGCGTCTTCGTCCGTCTTCGTCCGGCTTTGTCCGGCTTCGTCCGCCTTTGTCCGGCTTCATCCGCCTTCGTCCGCCTTTGTGCGCGGTATGAACGATCCCTAAGAACCCCCAATAACTTTACTCACTTCTTAAAGGCAGCGTCCAGACAGATCTGGACCTATGGTGCTTTTACGTATAAAGTACTTTTGGGGTCCTAACTAAGGCACTGCCGAAGCGGCAGCTCAGGTAGTGCTCTAATGGCAGAGATATTCCCCTCGAAACTGGCCCCCGCGGACGTATTCGCATGGATTCATGGCAGTTTCGCGCCAGGATCCACGCTTTACGCCATGAATCCATGCGAAACACGGTCGCGGGGTCCAGTTTCGAAGGGAATATCTCAGCCATTACAGCACTACCTAATCTGCCGCTTGGGCAGTGCCTTAGTCAGGGCCCCAAAAGTACTTTCCACGTAAAAGCCCCATCAGATCTGCCTGGACGCTGCCTTTGTGCCGCTCATAATTTCTAGAAAACTGCGCAGCAGATAAAGAAGGTGGATTTGGAATCTGCTCAATAGCATTTAACGATTGCATTTCGTTCTCCAGTTCGTCACTGCCATTTGGACTTTTCCTTTGTTAGCGTGTTGAAGAGGGTGATTCTTCATTAAACTTTGTTCATATTAATTTTTTTATGTATCAATCAGCCCATTTAGGTGGAAGATGAAATCTTATCCAGCGGTTTCTTCGTTATTCCTGAAGCTGTCAGTATCATGAGTGGTTCTGATGAGGGAATGTACAGCTGGTTCACTTTGAATCTTCTGTTAAACACGCTTTATCCTGGCAAGTTTCTTTCTCACATACATTCTTTATTTAAAAAAGCATTTTTACAGATCACGATGTTCGTCCATATATACCCGAACCTTCAAGAAGCGTAGCTGCATTTGATCTAGGAGGTGGATCAACACAACTAACGTTTTGGCCTGAAGATGTACGCATGTTCGAAGAGTATAAAGATTATGAGAGGGATATAAATTTCTTTGGACATCGCATGCGACTGTTTACTCATAGGTCGGTAAGAAGCGTAATATTCAATGCTTGTATGTTTCAACATTTCTGTTACCTTTTGCTATAGCTAGGTTTTAGCTTTCTTGGTAACGGACTCATTGCTGCTCGTCTGAATACGCTCGTCGATCTCACACTAGATGAACATTCTAGTACTCGTCTGAGGTCACCATGTCTTCCTGTTGATTTCGAAATTCGTGATTGGGAATACGCCCTCAAGAAGTGGAATGTTAGGTTAGTGCGAATGTCCTGCTGCTTATCGTTTATGTAATATCTGACTTCAAAGTTTCAGTGGGACACTAACTTACTCTTTCGACTCTTGCTACGAATTGACTCGCGAATTCGTCAACACCAGTAACATCATGAAACTTCCAGGTAATTCTCTTTTCTCTTGCGTCCTATCTATGTATTTATTCTTTATGCTGGTAGGAATTATCTGATTTCGATGATCATAGTAAAAGTTCTAGCGCTTCACAATAAGATGATCTACTTGTTCTCCTATTATTACGACCGGGGTTTGAATGCTGGCTTGGTGAAAGAGAATGAAGGTGGTGTTATAAAGCTAGGTGATTACCAGGAGGCTGCTAAGAAAGGTGAGAATTTTCTTCGTCTGTTGGAGGTGTTATGTTCTTGCAGGAAATAATGTGTACCACCTATCAGTTACATATTTTTAGCATGTACAAAGACAGCCGATCAACTTGTGGGTGCTCATTGGATGCCATGGCAGTGTCATGATCTAACTTATATCTATAGTTTGCTCCATGACGGATTTGGATTTGAGGACAATCAACCTTTATTTGTGAGTTTTTTCTTTTATCAACGACGACTAAATCTTGTAATAGGCGCATTCTTACAAATGTAAAATTCGTAAGACTGGCCTGGAGTAATCTTTTCAAAATGCACATAAAAATTTTGAGGTTTTGTAGCTTCTCAGACATTTTCATTATCCAATCTTACACGTCCCAGGCGATCTCTAGAATAAATGCCGTTTTATGGTAGCGCGGCAACGTTAATACAAAAAGTATGGGCTCGACTATTCTATAGAGCAAAGTAAGCTGTACGAGATGACTACCACACATCCATATAAATGTGATCCACATTGGGTGATAAAATTTTTTTAAAATTTAGTTGAAGTGAAAAATGGCATCCTCGACATATAAGCTGCTGACGGCGCAATATCTTCGGGCGAAGGCGGCTTTATTAGCCGCAGAGCGCATGAGGCGCCGGATTTACAACGGTGAAGATACGCGCGCGCCACGTTCGCGCCCGCTCAACTAATACTGCTTTGTTCCTTCGCCAGCAGTAGCCTTTACGAACTCCAAAGTGGCCATAAAACAGAGTATAGTTGACTGCCCGGATAGCTGGACTGAACGCCCGCGCGCGTTTCTCTTGCGGGCTAACATCTTCATTCGCGCGCATGAGTCATCATGGCGCTCGTTCTCGGCAGCCGCGTTGCAGGCACGCTCGCGTGCGTTCAGCCTACAGCGATCCGGGCGATTTCGTGCAGTCGACTTTACCAGACACTGAAAACACTTGCTGTCCCGCACCTAATATGCATGAAACAAGATCAACCTGGAATACAAAAATATTTTCGTAGTTCATGCTAGCACTAATACTTCACTTGCATGACACATACAAGTGTGTACACTGATTTTTTATCCCAAAGCAAACATATTCTGATTTAAAAGGATAGAATTGTCTGGACGGGGATTGTCAATTAGATTGTCATTTTTCTTGCTTTATGAACGACACATTCACAGCAAGTCTACATATGGATGTCTCTGTGTCTGTCTATCTGGTCAACAAGTGGCAAGTCCCTAGATTTTTAGGCTAAATCCAATTAGTGTGGTAAAATAATTGATTTCGGCTACAATTTCCTCGTAGACTACGATTTGATTAGATGTGTTCTAATTATGTGTGAGGGATGCGTTGCTCTATTGAGGAGTCTGTTCTCAATATATCTCTGGTACTCATAGTGTCACGCTGACTTTTGGCAGTTTTACCCAAAATCATCACCTAGAAATGTGACCCAGGCAATAATCATTGTTTTCAGCTAGCGAAAAAGCTCAAAGGAATGGAGGTGGCTTGGGGTCAGGGTTTATCATACACACTGGTGCATGAATTTCATAAGACGCAGATGTCCACGGTTATTGAGAGAAGGAACGCCACCGTAGCCCACCAAATAATGAATTATGTTTACTCGGGAACAAATACTCTCTTGTCTTACTTGAAAATCATATCATGATAGTGATTTATGTTGTAGTTTTGGTAGTACACTCTCATGTGCCTATCTTTTGTTGATATTTCATGCGGTTTGTGGTTGTTCTACTTGCCATATCATCTAGTCTACCGGTAATTTTTGCCTTACCTAGATTAGCCTAGCAGTTGTTTCTTTTGTAGCTGTCACACAAATGTGGCTGTGATCTGATCCATACGAGATGTGATAACTTCACTTATCTTTCAACAGCTTGTATTGAAAAGGAGACGGGATCGATTTGTATATTTATCACGATGAGGTAATAAAATCGCAATGTGTACGTTAAGCTTGCAAAATCCTATAAAATATGAAAGATAAATACTGGCTTTGGTTGAAGAATTGGTCCTGATTCACGAATCTAAGGGCAAGTCATACAATATTGAAATCGGAAGTTTGGCTGTGGTCTACTACCCGTAAAGATTTTTCTCGAAAAAAGCTATACAGTTCGCAGTTCAGGCAAGTGTCGGCTACCCGAAACGAGCAAATTGCGTATGACATGGGTTTGTGGAGTAGCAAGTAATGAGATTTCATAGTTTACGTTACTGTTGCTCAAACTACCTTATGAGGATCATCAGTGCGATCTGTCGCGTAACTATTAGGCACATAAATGACAAAATCGTGAAATACACCTCATGGCTTTTGGAAGGCGTAGAGTGTTTCGTACAAGTTGAGGTTGTCACCATAGGTACTCATCAGTTTTGAAGCATTTGGCCATTTGCTGTAATCGGCACAGTACTTGATGCGCATCAGCTGGTAGTTGTGCACTTTCTTCTCATTACGCCAAATTGGGCAGAGCCTGGAACAAAAGGTTTGGAAGGCAAATCCAGTTCAGTTTTGGTTGTTTTTGTAATCGTAGGTTTGGGAAAGAATCTTCGTTTTCTACGCTGGATACCTTCGATACATAGAGTCATGTACTCTGGTCACCTGCACTTGCACTCTGAGCGATAAAACTCCCTTCTTTGTGAAATGAGAATCCGGAAAAAGCCCCAGAATAATACTTAGCAGTTATGTCGAATGATTGTCAATGAAGAGAGTAGAATGAGTAACAATTTGGTAAAATTCTCCAGTATCCTCAGGAATTTTCAAAGCCTTCTAAAGGGAATTTTTCAAAGGTTTCTGTAAAAATACCTACAGTGTTTTCGCGGAAGCGGTCATGGCAATATAAATGAGTTTCGGAATCCGGGAAGATTGATGGGTTTAGTAATAGCCAAGAACTGCCTCAAAACTTGAGCAGGAACTGCACAGGAAAATGCGGCTTTACACTGGAAAGTGGATTTCAACTTCGGCGACGTTATCAGAGCATCGAGTCGTCTCAGAGGTGTCTACAAGTATAAACAAGTCACTTGCACATTTTTATAACCCTTATAAGTAACTTTCGAAAATTTCGCGACCCATTCTCGGGGGGGGGGGGGAGGCATGGTAGTAGTAATTGTGGATTTTTGCGAAATTACTGGAAAACATCATGCACTTTTGTAGCTAGAAATTACCAATAACATTGTTTTTTAAGATTGCTTTTTCGAACATTTTTCCTTGGGCAAACTAGACGAACTTTATGCTTTTTGCATCATCTTCTCCCTTCTCGTCAGCTATTCAAAACTCTAATCAAGTAAGATTTTGTCGTTCGGCTATTATTAGTGTAGGATTGACACAAATTACAGTGTAATATCACGAGGCTCTTATGCGGCTTATATCAAAATATCTCTTTTTGTTTGCGAAAACATGAGCTTGTTGGATTGGCTTAAAGATTGGTTTTTAGATATTCGCTAGTGATTCACGTCTGCAACTTGCGTAATAGCTAGCATCCGGATTGACGTCAGACAAGTGCTGCTTGTTTTAAGGTCATCGGTTTTGTCACGTTTTACTCTTTAGACTAGGAAATTTTGAGGAGCTATAGTTCTCTTAGATCATGATCTCTTTTTTGAAGGCACCGTCTACCTAGATTCTCGAATTCCTTATTTTTGTCGTTCCGCGGCCTGTTTAGTCCCTGATTCCGAGTAGTAAGTTGAGAATTCGTGAAAACCCCGACAATCCCCGTATCTAGAACCCACAAGGCGAGTTTCTCGGAACGGTGATTGGTTGGGTGCGCACGGATGGGCAGGACGAACGTCAGCCCACTCAAAGGGGAGGAGACAATGTGGCGAATCTATTTGAGGCGATTTTGGGCAATTTTCTCGTTTCGAAGCAACTTTTGACAGCGCGAGTTGGGCAAGTATACAGTTAGGGGCACCGCTACTGTTGGATCTCAAAATCCCATCAACCCCGTTTTTGGTGTTGCTTATTCATGCACACAGAATGACAGGAAAATGAGTGGAAAAAGGAGTACTTCTCTCAATTTGCTTCAACTTCAGCTTACTCCTCTGTCAGAGTATAGTTAGAACGTGAAACCTTTGAAATCTTTCTGCAGTTACGTCGACGCAGAGAGTCCTAATTGTTGATTTCTTGCTAAATACAGCAGTATCGACTCAAAAAGAGAGCGAGAGAAAACTGTCAAATTTGTCGCTATTTGAAAAGGATTGACCTCGTAGTTTATAATGAAACGCTGGCCGTAATCGTTCCTGAAGGCCAAAAAATCGCATATTCCTTCCTAAAACTACACTTTATGCGACTTTAGTAAAATTCCCCGGAAATGTGCACATTTTCGGGGTCCTCTTCCGCGGAGAGCTAAGCGTGAGGGATCGGGAAAGGACCTCTATTTTTTCTATGGTCGCGCCATCCTCAAAAACTCTAAGCTTTGATTTGTGCAAAATACTATTAATCGCAAAATCAAACTATATTTTCATTTAGCAAAATTTAAAGCAACTTTGTATAATTATTTCAATGGTTACGGCCAATTTCACTTTCCATCTCCATAGCCGTTTCCAGTTTTTCCAAAAATTTCGGGGTTTTAGGACCGAGGAGAAGACGATGAGACAACGTGGAGTGGCTTTTCAAACACCACTCTCTAATCGGATCATCATCGCGGGAAGGTGCCGCGAATCTGGTCTACGAGTGACACAGTCCCTATGTGGAAGAAGGGCGACGTTGGCGATTGTTCAACATTCGCCGATGCACTTGCTGTGCCACACGATGAAGGTCGCGAGCGAGTCATCGACACACGCATCCGAAGTAGCGTGGAAGCACCCCGAATCAATGCCGTTTCGTAAAAGGATCTAGTACCATCAACACCATCCATACCGTGCGACTATTGAAGGAATGCCATCCAAAGCGAAATCCGATTCATTTCGCATTCTTGGATTTGGAAAAGACATACGATCGGATACCACACGGGCTGATTAGTGTGCACTGAGACAATACGATGTCCTAGAAGAGCACGTCCGCTGGATCAAACTTCTTTATCAAACATGACGGTAGCCGTAGGCTGTGCAGTAGAACCGTCAATGACATCCCAAGTTGGAGTACATCAAGGATTGGCTTCGTCACCACTTCTCTTCATATTAGGTTGCAAAGAAATGGCTGTGATTTCATGCAGATTGATTCTTTTCAAGAGCTGCAATTTTTGATGCGAAAAACATGTTGTCTACAAGACATGCTTATTTTATTAGGTCCTTAGCACTACATTTCGGGCCACCAGCATGCGCACAAGAGAAAAAGGTCGGTCTAAAAATCGTTTTGTTTGTGCAGGATTTTCTCAGACATAAAGAGAGCAGGACAGCTCATATCCTGTAGCTATATAGGAATCTAGCGGGGCTGTTGATAGGGCAAACCGCGATTGTAGGGCACCCACTTGCAAAATTTTTTTCAGGAAGCTTGAAGAATGAGCCATTTTTTTGCACCCTAAAAATACCCCATTTTGGTTGGATGACTTTATGATATTCCTTTTTGCTAGAATGAGCCAAATCTTTGATCACTGCAGTGTTTGGATAATGTCTTGCGCATCTTTTGGGCCCATCATCGAGGCGCAGCGATCCACACAGAATCGCCATCTGCGAAAGAAATTGCCGTCAGAAACAATTTGACAGTTTGTAAGTTTTGTGCTTTGTGGCAAATTTCAAGCGCAGCTCTATATTTGTAGTCAGCAGGCCCTTCATTTGAATCCTTCAAGATCTAGGCGAATCTGTTAGTTTAACACGGAAAAGTGGAGACAAGAAGAACAATTGTGAAGTTTTTACCTTTGGAAATGTTACTTCTTTGGTGTGTAAATCAGGTATGATCAGGCATCAATAAAAATTGGAACCTTCTTTAGAAAGCTTAAGCTTTCTACTATGAAAACAGTGCAAAAAATATATAGTAAAAGTTTGAACGATTGCGAAAAAAGTGAGTTTGAAAATTAAATTTTTAAAACTGCCCGGGAACTTTATAACAACACTTTGCATGGATGGGGTTACAAGTACGTTCAACTGCCGCACCCGTGGACGCTCTTCTGCGCAGATGTCGAGCTAGCAAGCGAATCGAGGCAGGACGAAGAGGTAACCGTGGAATGGAGGACGCGATTGGCCGAATATGGCATGCGACTAAATATAGGAAAGACTGAGTATCTGGAATGCGGACAGCAACCGGTGAAACAATCAGCGAGCAGCCACTGAAGAAGGTCACCATTCAAATACTTGGTCTCCCGAGTGTCGATTGCGAAGCAATCACTGATGCTCGTGGAAAGACGAACGCGGCGTGGCTGAATGGCGTCAAGTAAGGCAAGGGACATACCTCACGCGATTTCAGTCGCCGTGCGATTTGGCACTGCAACGACTCTCCATAGCTGGTCGTAAACGCACTTTGCTTGGGCCAGACTTGCTGCGTTTGTTACTACGGAATCTACGCACCCATGCATCTGAGAGCCTCGCATGCTTAATCTCTAGACATCTGGCAAATCGCCAAGTCGCGAGGATGTGGCGATTTCGCGAAATCGCGAGAGGTATGCCTTAGGCCTAACAGGAGTACTCCGCGACCGCCAAATAGTGTACCTCAAGTTAAAAGTATGTCAGCGTGAAGTACGGCCAGTTGCCCTGTACGGAGCAGAATGTTGGCCGACAACTAGGAAGCACGAGCAGATTCCGAGCACGATAGAGACGCGAAAAGATGAATACTTGGCCTTATGCGAAGAAACTGTGTCACAAATATCGATTTGCGGCACATTTTTGGAGTTTCATCTATCGAGAATAAAGATCGTTGTGTCAGTTCACGATGGCGTGGACACTTTTACAAAATGATGACGATTCAGTAGAAAAAACGGCACTGCTCAAATATACAAGGAAGAAGGCCTCGCCGCAGGCTCAAGCAACGTTATTTGGACACGTTGGATTCGAAACGATCTGCACGTGGCAAATCTCAACCGCTAGAAGCAGCTGATCGAGTCAACTAGAATCACGATGCAACACGCCGACCCTGCCATCGCGTGACAATCACGAAGAGAAAGAAGAAGAAGAAGATCGGGATATTTTGTAACGTAAAAGCATTCCAAGATTTTATCTTGGAAGAAATGCCATGGTGCCTCCTTCTATTCCTAATGTTGATGATTTCTGTTATCATCAACCATTGATGAACTCTATATTCTAGATAGCCTACGGAATACCCGTAGGCTAAATTGTGAGCTACTCACTCTTGAGTATCTAATCACTCAAGAGTGAGTGGTACCCGTGCGCCAGGAGTGTAGCCAATCGGCGGCACCTCCTTTCAAGCACCAACTCGTGTACATTGTACCTTTTACTCGGTTCGCTCCGCCTTCCTTCCTATATAAGGAGCCTCCGAATGTATTAGAGGTTGCTCCCCGGTCCACACCGGGACACCTCACTCTTCTTCACGACTAATCTACGCCCGTGCGAATAAATCTATATTCCACAACCTCGTCTACCCCAAATCACTTGGTACCCACCAAACCTAAATAATTGCGAAACCGCCTCTGTCGTACAGAAAATTTTTCTTCAATTCCTCTAGCGGCAAACTCTATTTTGAAATGCTGGAACTTTACTTCTTTCTCACCTCTCAAAGCAGTTCTTTTGCTACGCTAATTTTTGAAAACAACGGATGTTGTCACAAACCTGAACTCATCATTGAGCTGTGGCTGTTCGCGGTTGATGCAGTACTGCTGCTGCAGCCTGTTTCTTGTCCTGATCAGCTTGCCCAGTTTTCTGGCCTGCTCGGTTAGTCGTTGGACAGTCTTTAGCGGTAGTTCAGCTCGATTTAGTAAGCATTCCTCCACAGGTTCGTACTCGTCGTCCTGTAGGGTTGTGGACTTAACACTTATGAAGATTTGTAATTTATTCCAAAAATGCAGAGTGTTGAACCAAAAATCCGCTGCCACGCTATGCTTGAAACCATGAAAGTACAGGGCAAATCAGCCGTTTCTTTCTGGGGACAAATTAATCATGAATTTTACGGTGCTTTTTACCCTCACCGTTCTCGCTTCAACTGCCTTACAGTTATGGATTGCTTTAATAGCTTAGAATAATCCACTAGCAAGCTCAGAAGTTTTGCAGCTAGGTCCCCTGCCGTGTCAGCGGCGCAGTTGTCGAGCGGCATCTTTTCAAGTCATAAAGCGACAAGCTCCATTACACCGGAAAGACAATGGAGCAGGTGACAAGGTGCACGATAATTCGTGCACCTCGACGTGTTTGTCATTTTTACTTTTGTTACTGTAGAGGGAAATTCAAGGGATTTTTAATCTTTTTTTCAAATTAAAAGTGGCCACATTTTTAGAACCACGGAGATTTGTTCAAGCCATGGTGGCCTTTGCGTGGAGCTCAAAAGCTTATCACCCGATAACGTTTGAACGGTAACATAACAATAGCTGCATAAACTTCATTGGTGAACGAAGGTAGGCGGTATGTGCGGACGCGGTTCTCAAGTCCGCGGCGCGCAGGGCTCAGGACCACACGGAGCAGCGTTCGCGTCCGCTCAGCACATTGGTGCAACCAGCTTTTTCCCCCAGTACACTACATAATTCGTCTGCTTCCTCACACCCTTTCTGAAAACGCTCAATTTCTTCTGTCCGCGAGCAAAGAAAGAAAATTTTGACAGTCGTGGCGTGCCCATTAGGAAATGCCAAGGAGCGCGGGAAGGCAAATTGCAAATTCAAGGGTCGCGGCGTGAAATGATGAAATTTTAAGCACTGTGCTGTGCAACTCCCTTCAGGACAGCGATCTTATTAATTATCTGAGTAGGTGAATGGACAGGCGCGAAGACCAATTTGAAACTTACTGAGCTATTTTCTTCAGCTTCGGGTGGGAGCACATCTATATCATCGTCTACTGCAGGGTTCTGGGTAACCATCCATGTCCTCGGCTGAATGCTTGAATTTAGAGATATTCTGGGTGGCAGAACGCACAAAACAATGTATCGTTTGTATAGTGAGAAAATGGAGAAGTGCCTTCAGATTTTATCATTCCATTTCTGACAAACCGTCAGTTTTTACAGCTAATTTTTTAAAGGCAGTACATCGGCAGAATGAGACCCGTGACAAAACAAGGGCACAGGGTAGGAGCCCCATAATGGAACCTATGGGCCAAAGTTCGATCTTTCTCTGCCACTCCTAACCCCCGAAATTTCAAAGCGAAAGCAGCGCTCATCTCCTCTTCTCTCCGACCCCGCCCATCCCACGGACGAGTGAACGCGAAGCCCATCATGGCGAAGACGCAGAGTCGTTGCGGACCTCATGCTTATAGCATTGCGGCTGCGCGCTCTGACCGTGGAAGTCACTCGTTTATGGGGTGGGCGGGTTCAGAGAGGACAGGAGATGAGCGCTGCTTTCGCTTCGAAATTTCGGGGGTTAGAAGTGGCAGAGAAAGATCGAACTTTGGCCCACAGGTTCCATTATGGGGGCTCCTACCCTGTGACCTTGTTTTGCCACGGGTCTCATTCTGCCGATCTACTGCCTGTAAGTTGCAAAAACCCCTAAAATAAATCAAATTTGGTTTTGTAAACTGCCACATTTTGTCAATTGATTGATTCAACAACATCTTCCAAATTTCATGGATGGAACGTACCTCAGGTCTGGGGAAGTTTGCAGCAGCTGTCGCCTCGTCGTGCGCATATTCACCACGTACGGTATTGTCTTCGGTATCGTCGGCATGGTCGGGCTTCGGCGTTAACTCCGTCGGCGTCTCATCCTGACGAGTCAAAATGACATCACTTACGTACTCAACCTGCAACGGAACCACGAATGACGCCATTTCGCCTGTCACTTTTGGTCTGAGTAGCGATCAGTCAGCAGAAGCAAGCGATCAGCGTAGGCGTGAGCGAGTGAGCTGAAGCTGGGTAAGCGAACATTCGCGGAGGTTTAGCTAGAGCTCATTCGGATATGTAATCTGATGCTCAAAGGCAGCGTCCACCCAAAATTTTGCCTCCCATGTTTTTGCCATTCCGGGGCCTTTCTGTGACCCTGATTACAGTTGTGAAGTTTAAATTCTCCAAAACCTGCAGAAACACGATTTCGTGAACCTGTCTTGAGGGCGCGGAGGCTTTCATACATGGGGGCGGAGTCTGATAGGATCCGGGCGGGGTCTGATAGCACGTTGGCTGTTCCAGGTCCCTTATCTCCATTTAGAGACAACATTAGATGACCGGACTAACGCAGATGCCCCTCACGGGGCCTCATTCAGGATCGACCCTAATCGAAGGGAGTTAGATTTTTAGTCTGGACACTGCCTTTGAGGTTGATAATACGATTAGTTGAAGGTTTCCCGTTACCAACATGCTCAGAAAAGTGCTCACTTACGTCCCCGGAGCTATTCCGTTGTATACAATAGGGAACCCCGTCGTATGCAAGGAAGCTGTTGCATACAACTGGACTAGCGCCACTACTTATCCATTCTTGTTGAAATATTGTTCCAGAGAGTGGGTTGTCTATGTGTTCTCTTATCGCGCACTTCATTTCCGAAATCAGGATCAAGAAGGGTTTAAGACAGATAATAGAGGCGAGAATCTGAGTGGGGCGCTGCTTTATCAATTCGGTTGGCGCTAAAGTTATTGCGCAAATCAAACGAAATACGATAGCTTTTCAAGTACTGATCTAAATCCATAAATGTTTATCCTAAAAAGAGAAAGATTTGCGCTCAAAATGAAGTTCATGTGTAACATTCGGCAACATTCTGTGAGTTGCCATAGAGGGTGAAGCTTTGAAAAAATGGCGTTTCCAAAAAGCGCAGAGAGCCACTAGATAACTCGAAAAATTCGTAGAAATCTCTTGCACAGCAAAAGTCTATACATCCTTTGGCACGCTACAATGTGTATGTAAATTAAAAAACAAAAATTTGTGAGAATGTTACTTCACAGAAAAAACGCCTATCGCTGCATTTCTTTTCACCTGCACAGTATGGAACCTTAAATAAGCATAGTGGTTATTTAGAACATTTGACGATTTCTGGAGTGACAAACACTGTTTTTGCTTCAGTGTAAAATGATATTTTTCCCGAGTTTTTTGTTTTTGCACAACTATACAAGATTGAAGCTTGCCACGGTAACATATGGAGTTTTGCTGTATGAGAAATTCTGTAGATTTTTTTGGGCTAGCTAGCGGCACTTCTTTCTAGCATCAAACTGGAAACGCAAAATTTAGAACATCGATTTTGAAAGCTTCGTCCGCGTTGGCTAACTCATTGAACGTTATACAGCATCTTTCATGAAGCGCCACCTTCTGCTATCCTAGGTATACCGAACTATGAATGTAGTTCTAGTATTCGAAGAGTTTATCGAATTACGCAAGAATTTGCGCGCCGACTGTATATCTACGAAATGTGCACCATAACTGCGCATAAGTAAATGTATATATTACAACACGGGAATAGTAAGTTACGAGACGATAAGGCATAAAGAAATATGAAACACATGGAAAGAGGAAGGCATTATTTCCGAAGCAGCCTATTCGAATTAGTTCTAGAAGAGAAGACTTTCTTCTCACACTTAGCAGTAATCATTCTGCTGCAAAACAGTATGTTAAAGGTCAACATGAATTGCGTTTGCTACGTGCTAGGTCAAACTGTTCACTCAGAGAGCAAAGAATGAATGCTTCCTAGTCGTTGTCAAAGCGTTGAAAAAATTATAAAAACGTCTCAAAAGCGGTCGGCATCCTTTAACAAGGGTTCTTGTGAAATTCGCTGCAAACTTTTACATATGTCGAGGCTGTTATCCGTTAAGGTAACCGATTACATATCCGAACAGATGCGGTGAGTCAAGCTTTCGTCGGCAAGCACAAAGGGTGAAGCAAAAAGCGTTTAGCGTCACTGCGTGCGAAGATTTGTCTCGATATATACCTTTTTGTACCTCACATCGTACTGATCAGCTGATCCGACAACATTCGTATCAATCGAGTTCGCGGTGGCCGATCCGTCCAGTTGAGTGGACGCGGCGCCGTCGTGGCCGAGGTCAGCAGCTGGCGGCTGCTCGAGCACGGTGTTCGTCGAGTTCTCGTCGATGAGCCGGATCTCGATTCTCTCGATAGGCGCGTCGAGTCGTTCCACTGAAGGCTGTGAATCAGATTCGTGATTACGAAAATGCAAAAAAAGTTTGAGTTGGTAGGCAGGCATGATTTAGCCCGTTCGCTTTGGTCTCACCCTTTCACATCAAATCTGGTCGCTAAAGTAGAGAAAATATGAAAGTAACTACCTCTGATGCTGTTAATCCAGCATCAAGTTCTGCTCACTATCCAAGTGAACGTTTTGAATAGGTAATATAGTGGAAATTGGATGCTATAAATCCATTTCATTTCATGTTAATTTGGTAGTATCAAAACTGAGAACATTTTTTTGATTAATAGTTTTATCTGAGTTCTTTTTTTATTCCTGATGACTATTGCCTAGACTTTTTGACTAGTCGATGGTGCACTTTTGGTGCAATAATTAAATAAAAAAAATAAATAAGTTGCAAATTAATCCTCACGAGAGGATTTCAAAAGCACATATCACCGATGATTCACATGAAATTTCAAAATGGAAAAAAGGTCATACTAGAAATGAAAGTATTCTTTCACGAAATGGCACAACATTTTGGAATTACAGTTGAAAAGTCAAAGGCACTTTATTTATGTGCGGAATTACACCTTCACATTTTGGCGACAGGACACAGACCTTTGAAAAAGGCGTGGCGAAAAATAACTTAACGTATCATTGAACACAGTTGTCCAAAATAAAAGGAAACAAAAGAAAAACACACGAGAAAAACACTATGTGAGTTCCATGCCAATTCATCTTGGAAAACATGCAAATGCACAAATTCGTATGAAAACCTACTCACAGCGCTTTATGGGATCATAAGGAATGGCCAAGCTTGCCCTCTTCTAAAAAAAATCTGTCGCCCTCCCCCTGAACGAAATTTCTTTCTCGGACCGCTATACTCAGAAAATCGTGCAACAATTTAGAGATCGAGTGTAGATTACTCAACAAGAAATAATGAGAAAAAATGTGCCAAAGTAGGTTGCGGCTTTCTATTCTATACAATAATAAATCTTCCAGTCAATACAAATGTTGAGAAAAAATGATATAGAGTTAGAAAAAAAATTCGGATGTGGCTGATCCCCCCTACACATTGACTACCCAACTCGGAAAAAAGCGCATCTGAAGTGCAATTTGTGGAACTGGAACGGTGCGCCGATTCAAGTAACCAATCTTGCCATAAAATAGAAATGTGAAATGAAAATGCGCTGGATTTTTTTTGCTATAAAAAATGAACTGCTAAATCATATGATGTATAGAGTACAGAGCGCATAATTGTTTGGAGCATTTGACACTTCGCGGCTATGCGAGGAATTCGAGTACATTTGCGGCCTGGAAGACCACAGTTCTTAATCATATAGTGCAATCTTCAGCACAAAATAGCGATTTTACGTTAAAGAAATTTGTGATTAGTTCTACTAAGTAAAACGAGCGCATATGACATGAATAAAAATCAAAAGTCTCATCGGAAGCTTGGCTGTCTTCCGCAGAACTATACCATTTCTTCTTAAAATTCGGCCTTGAAAAAGTGAGTCAGAAGATGGATTTCTAAAACGTAGAAGGCGAAATTCTACAGACCGAAAACCTTTTTTAAAACCCAAAAAAAAAACAAATTTCGCAGTTGTATGATTCAGCTGGCTTGGCGGCTGGAAGGCGGGACGTGACCTAATGGCTAGATAATGATGGGAGAGCACGCGCGCGAGAGAGACGCAGACTGCGTGGTGGGCGCGAGTGGCCTTAATTAGGTCACAAAGCCCCGCCTTCCAGCTGCCGAGCCAGTTGAGTCAAAGGTTACACTTCCTTTTATCAAGTGCTCCATTTTCGCCACAACGAGTTAGAGAGCCCACAAAACAGCCTGTAGGGGCTATTTTATTGCCAAATTCTTACCACTACGACTTCCGGATTTTTTCACTCGAAAATGTTCATTAGCCGTCTCCTGCCGAACAACTATTGACTCATTAGAAACAACTAATGCTCTTGTAAAACCCCATTAACAGAGGCAACTGCTGACGCGGTGATTCACGAAGAAAAGCGCTGCTCATCTCAGTTGCACTTGCCCACTCTTCCGAAAAATGAAGAGAGAGTTTCCGAGAAAATACACACACGAACCAGTGAAGGTAGCCATTGTCGTCGTAACGTTTTCGTTGTCTCTCTTCGTACGTAACGGGGCTACTTCGTAGTGAATTGGCGAGGTACGAATACAGGTTATTGTGGCCAGCAATAGGCCCACAATGAAGCTCATCTGAATTATTACGAACTAAACGAGACGTTTTGCTCCGTCATAGAGTAGCAAACATAGTGCAACAGGATTGGGTAAAATAGGACTAGGTAAAATACTTTAAGGCGAGGACATATAGGGATTCAATAATGCAGTTTCCAAACACGATTTTATGGCAAAAATTTTTATTTCGAAGAAAAAAACACAGAAATCATGACATAAGAATTCCGTAGAAGACTTTATGTTGTTGTATGAAATGTCCAGCATGGATATTTGCAATAATTAGTACCGCCTGCACATATTTGATGTGTATTTGTTACAGATGTCCCCGCTGAATATCTCCGCCGAGGATTAGTCCTCGACCCAAAAATTTATTCTAGAGCACATTTTAGAATAAATTATTTATTTTTTAGTTGAATTAATTAGTTAATTATCAATTTTATAAATAATTAATTTTATTTTAGCATATTTCATGCATATTTTCAAACATTTAAGCAGCTGCAGGAGGGGTTCGTTTCAAAACAGAAGATTACCACGATCATATAAGATTCGATGAAATTGATCCAGAGTAATTGTTTAGAGTATTAAAATAGCATGAAACTATTGGCTAACGAGAATAAATGTTACAATCAATAATAGGCAGGAAATGAAATTTCTTTCGCGAAGAAGTAAACAAGAAAAAATCAATCACATGTGTTGGAAAGATTTTGAGTTTTTGCTTCATTCTTTCAAATTCTCCTATTCAACTTCTACATTAAGAACTCATTTTGAAATAGGATATTTATAGAAATGGGTAGAACTGAAGCGGACCATCTATAGATGTGAATTTAACAATATGTTCGTCTTTAAAATTACAAATTGCTAAATTTATTTTTACGCTAATTTGATGTGCTGATTTGAAAAACGTTTTAAAGATTTTGAGCAGGTACCGGTGTGATTCATTGCAGGAAGCGTAAGGCATGGTTAAAGCTAACATTATCGTATATCTTGAAAGCAGTTGAATAGAGAGGAAAAAACGCACTGAATTATGATAAGTTTCTAGTTCTCCGGACTACTGTTAGTGTTGATTAGCGGACAGATGACAAGCAAAGACGAAACAGCTGACATCTCAGGGCGGGCAACGCCTCTCTGACATTGACAGTTGAGGTGAGCACGATGAGAAGGAAAGGATTGGGGGGTGAGTAGATCTGACAGGGGGAGTACGGGGGAACTATGGTATAATATGCATCAAACAAGCAACATTTAAAATTTCTGGTAGGATAAGTAAGTCTACTAATGAGATTGCCAAAAGATTAGATCTTCTCGAATTTTTTAACTTCAAAATTATTTGTTTTGCGAAATTGCAAGGACACAAGGCTTATTTTGTACCAGTCGAAAGCTCCTGTAGAGTTTCTGAATAATATGGTAGTTGAAGATGCCTTACTACGAAATGGTTCCAAAAAAGTCTTTTTGTCAGCATTGTAAAGCCTCCTCAAAAATCAAATATTTAAAAGATAAGGTATTGCCAACCTATTCTACACACTTGGGAAGAGTTCTCGAAGAGCTTGACTGATACACCAAAAATTTTTCGCATTTTGCATACGATGCATAAATTTGCATGTCGAAAATTCGAGTTTTTAAAAATGGAGATTCAATTTTATTATTATATTTTCAATGCTCTTCAACTTTTCATTTGGCACACATCGTCAAAAATTCCTTTAAGATTGTGGTATGATGGTGTTGACAGTTGACAAGGCAAAGTTTTTTCTTAACGTTTTCTTTCATAGAAAAAAAACCTGATTTTGACTTGACACAACACAAATCGTCTGTATAATGTTTTGTGACGCAATCTGCAACGAATTCATGCAAATTTTGAGCACTAGCATGTTTCATATTTAGAGAAAATAACATCTACATTAACAATATGTATACCGAAGACCTTTTAGGCAGTGGGGTGTTCTTTGGCATTTTAAAATGGCAAGACCAATAAAGAGATCTGTAATTATGCTCTTATCCTAGGTTTTGGATCTAACAATAAGTTCGCGTTTTTCGAGTGGGATTTCAATCACAATAATGATGAAATCGTAAGAACTTTTAGCTTTTCTCGATGTGGTCGCAAAGAGCAACAATGGAAATGCAAGATCATCACAAACTGTGTTCGACAGGGCAAAATGATAACAAACGAATTGAAGAATAAAAATATGGAAAGTATTAGGTTGTAAAGAAAGTTCCCGGGCACTTTTAGAAATTTCATTTTCAAACGCATTTTTTCGGCGCTCGGTCGAACTTTGACACCAAGTTCTTTATACTGTTCGGTAGAGGGAAGCCTGAAGTTTTCAATACGTCTTCTGACTTTTATCGATGCCAAGACTTGTTTGATCTGCACATCAAGAAGGGAAATCTTTTCAACCATAAAAATTTCACAATCTTTCTTCCTACGGCCATTTTTTTGTGCAATCCAAAGAATTTCGTCCAAATCGTGGGTGATCTGATTGAGAAGCCTGTTAACTTCTGACCCGCAGCTGCATTCAAGTTTTGCGACTTGCGCTCAGAAATAACGAGCTGTCGAACTTGCCTCTGACTGCAACTCTTTTCGCAGCTGGCGTCGCTTCTGCGGGGATTGCCACGTCTGGATGATGGGTCCAAAAGATGTGTAAGACATTACCCCAACAATGTTCGCAGTAATCAAAGATTTGGTCTACCCTGTGCAGAATGAGAAGGCTTCAAAGTCACCTACTCGAAAAATGGTGCATTTTTAGGGGCAACGGCATCTGGGCTTTCCAGTTCTCATCCTGCCTGAGATAATGCTGCACAAATAGACCACTTTTCGCGACGACCTTTTTCCCTTCTGCGCATGCTGGTAGACCGCAGTGAGGTGCTGAGAAGCCAGCAAGACAGATATATGTTGTGGACAAAATTGTCTTTGCAATGAAGTTCGTAGCTTCAAAAAAGAATCAATCTGCTTGAAGTTACGACGATTTGAAAAAAATTTTTCGCAAGTGCCCGGGAACTTTTTTTTACAACCTAATATATGGAATGTTTACGTAACCTCGGTTACGAGATAGCGACTTAAATGTTGAATGAAAATGAGAGAACTGGCGACACTTTCTCTAGGCCTATTTCAAATAGGGAAGAAAGGAACGGTTTTGAGTTTCATTTGTATTACTAATAAGAGCATTCGCTGATAGTCACACTTATACTACGATGCCTATTTTTCAAATCCAATTATTTTATTTATACAACATTCTCTATTTCCTTATGCAAGAAGTGCATTTGTAAAACATCTATTCAAAATTCAAGAATCTGAGTCAGCGCCAATTGCAGGAAACCGTGATTCAAGACTTATCGTTATAACCTTTTGTAATTGGGAAATGCGCTCAGTTGAGCAATGAGAATCACCATCAGAGGATCGCCCTGACTTCAGTTACAAATGTCTAAAGGCAAAGCTGAGCAGCTCACCCACAAATCAAACAAATTGCTTGTTTTACCGTGATTTAGCAAATTATGAGCGAGATCATAATCAAACCCCAGACAACTAAGCACTGGTAACGACAAATGAGTTATTCATCAGTATGACTACATGCATAAGGTGATTTATAGCCGATTCATGCGTCAAAACTTCTTTTTCGCATGTTGAAGTCTGAGGAGCTCGCCTGGGCAAGGAGGGATGTTTTCTAAAAGACCTTCTCAATTGTTGACAACACGCAGACCCTTGTCCCTTTGGGAAAAAATCCTCCGACACGGAGTTCCGCTTCGCATTCGACAGAGTAGAGCAATCGCATCCGTCTTGCGAGATGGCAAAAGGGGAGTTTTTGGATTGTTACCTCATAGTTGTTTTGCCGGTAAACGTTGTTGTGTCTCGGTAAGATTGAGTGTTGGCGTCTATTTTATTCTTACTCATGCTTTGGGTTTGCAACGAGTAGCTTGCCTTGAACTCTGTGCAGCAATGAACTTTACTCTGAGAGACTTTAGCCTAGTTGAGTGGAATTCTTCTGGCTTACTTGGGACAATATTAATTGTCCCAAGTTGTCCGCTCTTTCGAACGACTATGAAGCCTAGTGTAGTGTATAACTAAATGAGTGCAGGCATGCATTTGATGCAGCTTTTTCTTCACATTTTAAGGTTGCGCGAGCCATAATCTTCTGTGCGCTATACAGAGTGTCCCAAAAAAATGTGCCTACTGTTTGATTGTAAATAACTCTCTTGTAATGAAATGTTTCGAGAACTTTAGGTACCATTTTGTAGAGCAAGCTTAAGCTTAGACTTACGGTATGGAACGAATCATCTATCGCTCTTCATTACTGTGGGATTACGGTAAGAACTTTCAGCGTATGGAATCAATATGAAATATACCACCTAACAAAATTTTTTTCAAGAAATCTAAAAAATTGTTTACTAGGGTTTTCACGCATGGCGATCCCACCTAACAACTTTTTACGAGTGTTTTCGGCTTTTTGTTTTGACGGTGTAATCACATTTCTGACATGTACTGGAAAATTGCGGTTTAGTTGGAATAACTTTGGAAAGAAGCATCACAGTAAAGTGAATTCGAAATCAGCAGCTCCCATTACCGCAGTATAAGAGCTTTGGCTTGTTTGATTTTGTTTCGAGACGGAATATAGCCTTTAATGGCCTAAAATCCTTGTCGAAGTTCGCACTGTAATCCTGCAGTAATGAAGAGATATAAGGTGCGGTTCATAATTATACGAACACCCAGAATTTTGTAAGTTTTCGGACTTTTTGGGAGAAACTCAAAAAGCCGTTGGTACCACGCGATAGAACACAGCCGAAAACGGTATATGGTCCATAAGAATGGAAATCGATGTCAATTATAGGAGTGTTTTTGCGCCTAATGCGAAAGACGACAGTTCGCATATGTTGCAAATGTTTCATAGTTTAGTAAGTAACCGTACAAAAAATACTAGAGTCAAGGAATGTGAAAGTGTTTAAGAAAGCAGGTATCTTTATGATTTTGTCCAGCTTTTGGTAGGAAATTTTTCGAATTTTTCTATTTTTCTCCGTTCGAGCTCAACAAAATTGGAAGCCGTTTTGAGAAGTCATGGTAGGCTGACATGCGCTATGTCCAGCAGTAGATAAAAACACCAGGGGTGACGCGTGCGGAGAAGGCCTTGATGCCATGTGACATCCGCTGCAAGGTGAGCCACGTAGATCGAGCACCTCAAAACTTGAGTAAATGAGCCATCACGCATGGCCATTCACGAGGGACACAGAGTTGCATAATTTATTGGTTGTCGGGTCAATAAACAAAGACCCCTCCTGCAGCAAGTTATTACTATGCTTTTTACCCTTCCCCTCCTAGCCAAATCCTACCCTTAGCTCGAAGTTTGGATCAATAAAACGAAATTTATCGATGAAGTGCTCATGACATCTGTTTCCGAAACATATATGTGCGCTAGGTCCAATGGATTCAAACACGGATTTATACGCAGACGCTACGCTTTATGTTGATTATGTTATGCCAATGCGAGGTTTGGTGAAGCCTTTTATTGATGCGGCCTTACGTTTCGACTTATCGTCGTCTTCAGAGGCCTAGAGTGGTGCGAGATTTGGATCTTATGCCTATCCCACCAAATGCCTTATCACCCTCTGGCTAGTTGCGTTCCCCCCTCCGACTTCACAAGAAAATTTGCAGAAAGAGGAAGACAAACCAACCTCAGCGCCGCTTCACCATTGGTGCACTGGTGGTACTGTGCAACCCGTTTTTACGTGTCAGTAGTGCCAATGAGCTACACTAGGCAGCTTGTTATTATGCATAGTAGCATTACAAGAGGTGAAGGTTACCTGTCTTTCGGACAATCTGTGTCCCTCTGAAAGGAGTAGACAAATAGCCTAAGCAAGTCAGCCCCACCTACCATAAAAACTATTCTACAACAAAGAAGTGACATTCAGCTTCATGTTACAAAGCGAAAAATGTAAGTTTGAAAAATACACAAAAGTATCTGCTTCAAACCACGCTTCACCATTGTCCTCTCCTGTATTCTCCGCTATTGTTTTGAGGGATCCTTCCCTTCCGATCTCATTCTTCGGGGCGTCGCTTGGGCGCCAGCGATGGGCACTTAGGTAGTATGAACGCA